TGATTATTGCCTTTATTATTACATTAATAATTTAGATTGTAGTAAAAAATGTTTTAAGCATATTATTTAAATGTTAACAAATATTTCATTTAAAAAAACAAAACATTAAGTCACGAGAATCTCTTGAAGTTTACTTCTTATAAGAAACCATTTAAGACTCTTAGAAGATTAATAAAGCTTCTTTTTTTTATTTTTATAATTTAATTAAATGGAAAGATATATAATAGTATCAAAACCTTTTTTTGTTCTGTCAAACGATACCATTTTTAAAAAATGTTTCGAAACAATTTAAAAGTATATACTAATCCGCAACTACATTGGCCGAATATTGGCTACGGTAAAAAGTAAAAACAGATTTTTATGGCAAAATATTAAGCCTAAACTACATTGGCCAAATATTGGCCCAACGTAGTACGGTAATTGCAAAAAACCGATTTGTAGAATTGCAATATTACGCCGAAAAAAAAACATTGGCTAAATGTTCGCCCAATATAGTACGATATTTGCAAAAAACAGGTTTGTAGAATTAAAAAAAATACGCCGAAAAAAAACATTGGCTAAATGTTGGCCCAACGGAATAAACTTGCCAATGTTAAAAGTTACATTGGGCCAATGTAAGCTTGCTGTCTGGGCAATGATTTCTATCGGTAAAAATCAAAGTTAAAGAAAGCAACCCAGAGTGATATTGTTTTTGGGGAGATTGTTTCTTAAGTTGCACAATTTTTTTTCAGATTTTATAGTATGTTTAATTTGATACATGGTGGTTAAATTTACTGTTTCAAAGATTTAAACAGAACAGAAACATAAAGTAACTCACAGACAAGTGAACATGTCCCTGGTAGTACCGTGCTCAACTTGTTTCTCTGTGCAGTGACCTTGTTGATCAAGGTTTGTTTTTTTGAGTTATAGAGTTAAGAGAGGGTTGTAACCACAACTAAAGTAGCCTCCTCAATAATAGTGGCTTTCACGGTCTTGGGGAGGTGAATTAATATATTATTATTATTATTATAATAAAGCTGCAGCTTTCAATGCTATTCTCTAACCAAATGACAAATTTAACCTATGGCTATTGTCGATATTTTTGCATTCTTTAACAGGTTTTTTGAAAGCTTAAGTGTTACCATGTATTTCTTCTTTGCCACACTTGTCAAACTCTTTTCTTTTACATGACATTAAAAAATCTTGCCTTCTGGTAAATTAACTGAATTACTATCAACACTTTTACCGATACTAATAACTTCATTGTTGACCTGAAAATTCAACCATAGTGCATTAAACTTTTCCAATATTACCTTGGTTGCATATTAAATGTACATTATCACATTTTGGCATGCTGGTGGCAAGGCTTACATTATTTAAATTCGACCAAAAAATTTTATTTTTGTTTGTTTAGTAAATCTACACTTTTTATATCATATCATCAAAAAAATATTGGTGCTTTACAAATTTGGGGTTGGTTGGGTTTTTGGCTATTTGTAGTGAGTCCTGTTTTACTGTAGTATGGAATAGGCGTAAGTCGCGGGGTAAAGCATAAGTGGCGATGACTGACGGGATAAACTAGTTATAAATGCTAATCCTCATCGAAACATCAATAATAATAGACTCAACTCTGAGGAGATGTTTATTACTTAATCACTACACAAATTATGTTTACACATTGGCATTAATGATTTTTTCTTCATTATTAAATGCCTTTCATTGTTGTTAGCATATTTTTTATTTTGTGATCAGTTTTTTATTTTATAAGTTTTTGTCTGGTGATGTATATCTTCGTTCATATTGGTGTTTATAAAACAATTTTTTTTTTTTTTATCTTTTTTTTTTTCTTTTTCTTTTTATTGTTATTATTGTTGTGGGTGTATAGCCTGTCTTATTTATTTTTAAATATTCCTTTATTAATCTTTATTTTTGTCTTGACAACTGTCAAAATATGCTTTGTCTAATAAATAATTCTCCTTTATTCTAATGTACTTCATTTCTTCCCTCAGGTGTTCACTGCTCGTGTGTGACCATTTGGCGAATTTTATATGCCAAAGTTTTTAAATAAAATTCACTAATTGTTGAAAACAGAATTTGCTTGTTTTTCTTTTGATCCATTTTCTACCTCAATAAGACCTTAGTTCTCTTCATTTTATGCTTTTCTCATGTAGATCTTGTCTTCTACACACACACCTTTTTTTGAGCTTAATAAGCACTGAGGAAATCAAGATCTTCATCCTTCATTTTTTTGGTACGAAATCTGTTGGTTTCTATTTCCGCTTGGGCATCTTAGTGTGATATGAAAAATTACTGTTTTTAATCCTCACTAAAAATCTTCTCTTTTTATTTGTTTGATTTGCACCCTTTGCACCCATTGCACCCATGCAAAGATTCTACTTGATCTGTATAAAAACTATAGTTTTCATATAAATCATTTTCATAAGAATCTTTGCTTTTGTCTTTATGTATTTCAATGTTTTAGTTTTTCTGGATATTCAAAACATTGAATATCCAGAAAAACTAAAATTTGCAAAAAATTAAAAGAAATTATTAACATCAAACCCTCTACAACAATTAAATATAACATTGTCAAATGTTATGGTAACACTATCTCAGACAGTATGGTTGTTGCTAAAATTTTAAACAAATATTATGAAACAATACAACACTCAACCAAAAGTAAACTGATTTCTTCTAAAAGTATCTTCTCTGACTATTTAAAAAATCCTAATTTTTATTCTTTCTTTCTTAATCCAGTGACTGAAAATGAGGTATCTGATTTAATAAAAAATAGTTTACAAAATGGTAAAAGTTTAGGACTAAATAGTATCCCCACACACTTTCTCAAACTTACTTCCTATGTTATCTGTAAGCCTCTCTTTACCATATTGAATAATTTATTTAATAAAGGTCTTTTTCCAGATGTTTTTAAGATAGCCAAAGTTATTCAGAACAGTTATAACAGAAATTATCGGACGATTCTTTTCTATCTAACATTAGTAAAATATTTGAAAAAGCTATGTACAACAGACTTTATAGATTTCTTGACAAAAACCAATGTCTTTACAAACATCAGTATGAATTTCGTAACAAACACTCCACATGGATTTGGTAACAAACACTCCCCTTATTAAAACAACTGAAACTATTAGAAATGCTCTTGACAACAAACTTTTTTGCATGTGGAGTGTTTCTTGATATAGAGAAAGCCTTTGATTTTGTTGATCGCTTCATTCTTCTAAGTAAATTGGAACACTACAGTGTTGGAGGTAATACTCTCCGATGGTTTTCATCATATTTTTTTAATAAATCAGTAATTTTTCTCCATCAATGATGCCAAATCTTTTCTAATAAAATGCTCCAGGAGTGTACCCCAAGGTTCTGTATTAGGACCATTGCTTTTCCTTATTTTAATAAATAATCGTAATATATCCCTAAAATTTTCAACAACTTACCATTTTGCTGGCGACACCAACTTACTCATAACAAGTCTTAATACCAACAAAACTGAACTCATTATTTTCCAATCAAGCCAATCTAAAATGTATAAAAACCTAAACTTTAGACTAAGTGGACAAAAATATTTCCTGTAGTTTCATTAGAATATCTTGGAATCCAAGTTGACTCAGATCTATCTTTTTCCTCTCATCTTAAAGGCTTAGCAGTAAAATTGTGTAGATCGAATGGGATGCTAGCCAAAATTTGCCACTATGTCAATTATGAAACTCTACTTAATATATACCATGCAATTTTTGAATCACATCTTAGATACGCTTGTCAGGTTTGGGGACAATGCAAGTCTAATGCTTTTAAGATTATGTAAAGATTTTGTAAGATTATTAAAAATAATATTCTTTCAACAGTATTATTCTAACTCTGACATCCTTTACTTTCTATCAAGTATACTCAAATTATGTGATCTTGTTTATCTATTAAATTGTCTGTCTGGAATCATAAACAAGTAAACCTCCCTCCGACATTCTCAAATTTTTTTACCACTAAAAAAAGTTCTTGTTATTATCTTCGATCTTTGAGTAACTTTAAATTATCCCAAAACGCTGTTCTGTAAAATATAATGAAAATTCTATTACAAACCAATGCGTAAAATTGTGTTACAAACCAATGCGTAAAATTAAATTTGTAAATTATTATTAATATTATTATTGTTATTGCTATTGTTATTATTGTTGTTGTTGTTATTATAATTACTAATATAATCATTATTATTGTCATCATTATATTTAATAGTATTATTGATATGAATATAATCCTCTTTGTTTAATTTACTTTATTATTATTATATGATAATTTATTATATTTATTATATTTATTATTATATAATTGGTGTTTTCCTTAGATTAATACTCGTACTATTAGTAAACAACTATGTAATTTAAACTTTTATTTCAGAATATATATTGTTATTGTTATTGTAAAAACAAAATTAAAAAGTAAATAAGGCAAAACAAGTTCTGGATTTTTTGCAGATATTTTATTTAAACAATTTTTTGGGTTTTTTAAATATGACTAGAATGATCTAAGTTTGTTGAATGATAATAAAATTATAAAACTGACGATGTTGGTAATTTTAATTTTTTTATATCTTTTATATTTATTTGTTTTTTGTATTTTTTATAATTTTAGTCTCTTACTTTTTAGGAAATCTATAAAACATATAACTTTAACTCAGAAATTTTAGACTAATTGGCCAGTATTTTATTGAGTATAGCAGATCTTGCTAAACCCCCTCCGCCTTTCAAAGTCAAAGTAAATGTAAAAATTTTAAAATCATAGCATTTTAAAATTTTTTTCAATCATGTCACAGTTTTTTATTCTAATGTACTCTTGTTGTCATTTTTAGCTTATCAAACCCTGACCCATTTTGCTTCTGTCACATTTGTACAGTGTTTTTTTTTTTTTGTGTGTGTGTGGTAGAAACATAAAAGTAAAAGCATGTTTTATAACTTTATAATATTTTAATTTTATAAAATATTAGATTGTGTTGAAATCTTCAAGTTGCATGGCTCAAGTGTTATTGTGGATGGATATTTTGCAAGTACTAATTTGCAATGTTTTACTCAAGTGAAGGTGCAAAATGTTCTTTAAATGAAGTAGTGTTTAATGACACTCCAGAATCAGGTATAAAAGTTTAATATTATTTACATTCTTTAATGTTTTTTGTATTATTTATTATTTCTTGTTATTTAAAAAAATCACATTAGCTTGTAAGTTAGTTACAATTTACACCAAAGACACAAATGAAAAAAATTTTATTAGTTTTAAAAAATATAATAAAACATAGAATAATTGTATAGCAAAGTCATTATTTCATTTATAGCAAGCACAGCTAAGTCATTATGTAAAATTTTTTGTTGTTTTTTGGCTTTTTTTATTTCATAATACTTCTGCTTCTTCTGTAAAATACACTACACCTAAATATTGTCAGATAATAGTTTGTGAGGGGATACTCAAATATTCACTATAATACTTCGGGTGCACTTACAAAACAATAAAGAAGTATTTAATTCATTATTTATTTATCAAAATAGAGTAGAAATGCAAATGAGTTTTTTTTTTTTTTTATTAAAGCAAAATATGAAACACATTTTATGTTTTGACCAAATCACAACATTTATTTGTTTTATTCATGTTAATTAAATTTTTTAAAATTTAATTACCATTAAAGTTGTTTGCAATTTAAATTAAAATAGATCATAACAATAAACGTATATTAGGGCTGCATGAGATTTTATCTCCAACTCCAGCCAATTTTAGAAAATCCGGCTCCAGCAAAAAATTAGGAAATCCGGCAATGTTTGAGCCGGATTACTACTTCTGGTCAGGTATTTTTTACATCTTTTTTTGCCCGTGCTTACATAAATACTCATCACTTCATTTATACAAATCAATGTAGTTCTATATTCTATGAACTCCATGTTTGTAATGTATTCACATTTCTTTACAGTTTATTTAGCTAAGCCTAATTGCAAACAACAACTCAACAAAAAATTCTGAAGAGAAGACACAATATTCTGAAGTGAAGATACGCAAAAGAATCTGAAGTGAAGACACAAATGTGTTTAAATATACATTTAATAAAGTTACAGTGCAGAGGGTAGCGATGCAAGATGGAAGTCCATCTGAGCATGCTGAGCAGCAGATTGACAAAATTGAATAAATTCTAGCAAAACAAGTCCAGCTGGATAATTCTTCTATAACATCACTTGGTATTGAGAATGGTCAATATTGTTGACCACTATCAATATCAAGTAGGAATATACAGGATTTCGGCTCCTGTAATTTTTCGAAATCTGCCTCCAGATTTGTTAGTAGAAATTTGGCAAATACAGCCCCGGCCAGGTTTGGAAATGTATATAAGTATAAATATATATAGAGAAATATGATACAAAGGTATAATGAAACAAAGCAGCAAGTAGTTAATTTTTTGAAGTAGTTAATTTTTTCATGAAGAAGTTATTTATTTTTTTTTTATAACATTTCTTTTAATTGTAAAAACCTTTCATGTTCAACAATTGAAAAGTTTCATTCCAAAAAGTTCAGTTACCTCAATAATGTTTGGTTATCTCATTTCATCCCATACTGTTAAACAGTTAAAATCTCTCCAGAGCAAAGCAAAATTTTGACATTGTGCAGTTGTCTATGAATTGATGTCTTCTACTGATATTCTTTCTCAATTAGATAAAAACATTTTTTTTATTAAAACAAAAGTTTGTTGTAAAATAAATTTGCTCTAGCAGTCAAGCCTCATTGCTGTTGTATCTTTTTTACAAATTGTCCAGCAATTAATCTTGTGTGACAATTTTCAAAATTGTTTTTTTTTTTTTTTTTATTATATTTATTATTTAAATTATTTAATTACTGTAATACATTTAAATTTATTAAAACTTTACTTTATTAAAAAATATTATAAATAATAAATAAAAAATTACATTTTTTTCTTAAAACTGCAATTGTAACCTTCATGTTTGAAAAAAATATTTAGTCAAGTTTATCATTTACCGTTTTATCTAAAAATGAAAAAAAAATTTAATCAACCATTTAATTTCATATGGTAAAACGTTTTATTGGTGTTTATATTCTTTTTACAGAACATAATTATCTTTAATATTTTAAAAGTTTAAAAAATTTTAGTAACATCTACTAAGTGATTATTTAGGAAAAAAAAAAAGCCATATAGCTCACTTTGAAATAGCCTGTGCTGAGGTTCATTGTTCTTAAATTATTAAAAATAACAAAAAAAAAATTGTTATTCTAAAAACTTTTAAAGAATCTTTAATATAATCCTAAAAAAGAAAAGTTAGCTCTCACACATGGGTCAGATCTTATTACCTCTTTCTAAGCATCCATCAATAGACTTTTTGAACTTAAACTAGCATATACTTTCTTTTAATCTTTTAAAACTTGTAAATAATAGTTACTTTTTTTTTTATCTATTTTTTTTTTGTTGAGAATTTTATGTTTTTTAGATATCACTCCAATGACTAGTTTGTAACTTGAATGACATCTAACTAGATGTCACTCATATAGTTACAAACTAGTCAATAGATGTTTTTTAGATGTCACTCCATTGGCAAACTAGTCAATCAAGTGACATCTAAAAAACATAAAATTCATGATAAAAAGAAAGAAAAAAAAAAATAGATAAAAAAAATATGTAAATAAATAAAAGAGAAAAAAAGATGATTGTTAAACAAATAATATTAATTTATGTAATAGTTATAGTAATAATACAAAATAATAACAATAATAATAAAGTATCAATAATGTTAAAAATAATACAATATAAATTGCATGTACTTATCGTAGATAATAGTTAAATATAATAATAATGTAAAATGTAGCAATAAAAACACAATAAATATAATATAGATAAATAATAAATAAAGCAAAAATCAAACCACTCATTTGTTAAAGAAATTATATATCAAAGACAACTACAATACAGAGAGAATTTATAAAGAAATAAACACTAACAATATATTTTTAAATTGTTGTTTTAAGGAAAACTTACCATATTTATATATGGTAAGTTATGAGCGCTCTACTACTACACCACTACTGCTTATTTATTTTATTAAAAAAATTTAAAAAAGAGTTTGGTAGTTTTTTTGGAGAAAGTTAAACACAAAAAGACAACTGTAAAACTTTACAGGATCATGGAGTTTTAAGATTTTTAGTTCAGAAAATTTTTTTAGGATATCAGATCTCATTGGCAAAAATGTCATTCTAATAGATGCACGTTGTAAACTAGCAATGCTATTAAGTAAAAAGTTACTTTTTTGACTCCAAAGAATACAACAATAGCAAAGATGAGAAAAGAATAAGGAAAAATAAATTATTTGAAAAGTTTGGATTGGAACATAGTAACAAATTAGAGAAAGCATACTGTTAGCTCATGTAAGTTTCTTTTTAAGATGATATAGTTAATTATACCAAGGCTTTCATCAGGATATACTCCAAGATACTTTATATATTTTGATGAAAAAGTTTTTTCTGTAATGTTAATTTAAATATTATCAATAGTTTTTTGAGGGGAATAAAAACAAATGTGTTCAGTTTTATTGACATTCAAGAAAATGTGATTACTATTTAACCAGTTACATAAGCAATAAAGATCTTGATTAACTTTTTAAAATAGTTCAGAAAGTACTGGAGAGATATCATTTGCAAGAGCATTAAAGATAGGTATTGGAATGCTGTTAGGTCCCGAAGCCTTGCTGTCATTAAAAAAATGAATAATAGATACTTTTTTGTTTTGGTTTTGGTTTGATAAATATTGATTTAAGACTGTGGTTTTTCAGATATTTATTGAAGTCAGTATTGAATGAGTGAATCTTTTTCTGTAATTCTTTTTGAATTAAAACAAAGAAGGAATTAAAAGATTCCGAAATTTTAATGGGGTTGTATATCATGGAGTTGTTAGAGATAAGCAGGAAGGATATGAGTTATATATAGGATATGAAGGATATGAACTCTCAAATTAATGTTTAAAAGACTTATACCATCCCATGTAGATTTTAAATTTTTGGCATGATCAGAGAAAAACTTAGAGTAATGGTTCTTTTTACTTTGACGGGTGAGATTAACAAATAAGTTTCTATATGTTTTATAAGATTTTTCTTGATTGAGTTTGTTATTAGAATTCTTTGTTTTAAGAAATTTGTTAAATATTTTATTTTGTATTTTGATTAAAGTCAAGATTTTTTTTGTTATCCAAGGTTTGAGACCCCTTGAGAAGCAGCGATTGCTGACTATTTTTAATGATGCATGTTTATCTAAAAGAAAATTGAAACTTGTGAAAAACTCATCAAATGATTTGTTAGTCTTTCGTTAACTTGATTACATTAGTCCAGCTAATTTTTGAGAAATCACTACATAACAACTTTTTTTAAATTCCGAAAGATGCAGCTTATATGAGAATTAAATTTGGTTCTATAAAATGGATGTATTAAAAATTGGGGTAAATGATCTGATACCATAGAAGTAAAATTACCTGCAAAAATATTTGTAGAAGTTGCATTAAAAAATATGTTATCAATTAGAGTTTTTGAGTGATTAGTGATTTTTGTTAGCAATGAAAAAAAGAGAAGAAAGTTATTTAAAGCAATGGTTTATAAAAATTCAGAAAAAAATTAGAAAAAACTGTCTGATAACAAGCATCTTATTAGAAAAAACTGTCAAATAAAATAAATTCGTCTTATTTATCAAAGACTTGAATAAATCTATTATGCTGGTTTTCTCAATTATCTTTCTATATCTAGGATCATGAAAAAATAAAACATGAAGAAAATCTCAATAAATAAATGAAAAAAAAAATTAAAATGAATAAGTTTGTTGTTTATCACACACTTATTTATTTCAAATTTTTAAATAACAATTTATTTCAAGTTTTTATAAAGCAACTTAAATACTGTGGTTAGAAAGGAATGATTCAATAATTTTGAAGTTTTTCTTAGATGCATCTTATGAAAATAGTTTATTGAGAAAACCAGCATCAAAAGCCTTTATCAAGATATATTATAAATATCATAAGAAAAATATCAAGATTTCAATCAACCATATCAAGAGAGCAACCAAAAAGCAACAGCCTTGCCTCACTTTATTATTATCTTGCCTCACTTCCTTTTACCTAATCTTTTTATCTTTTTATTACTATGGTTACAATGAGTCAGCAGTAAAACAAAAAAATTAAAACTATTCATTTATTTCTCAATACCGATAACAAATAATTAGTGAATAAATAACTAATATTCAGGTTTAAATTTAATTTAGAAATTGAATTTTTAGACTCAAGATGAAATTTTAGAAGGGTTTTACTTATAACAGTTTAAAAACTAATAATAATAGTAACTAGGCAACAGTTAGAGGAGACAGAGCTATCACCAACAAACATCTCAAACAAAACCTCTAACTTCCAACAAGGCTGCAAGCAACCACTAATAAGTTGGGAGTTACAAGAAAAAAAATATAGAGTTGTATAGCAAGTAAAATAAAATAAAAAGTGTTGACAGAAGGTTTTAAAAGTTGAAACTAAAATGTTACTTGAAACTGAAAAAATAATAAAGTTATATAGCAAGCAAATTGACAGAAGACTTGAAAAGTTGAAGGTTGTATGCGTCAGAAAACATGAAGATGGGAGAGAGTTAAAGTGCAGAAAAAAACAAGACAAATAAAAGTTTTTAGAGCATGCAGGGGCTGATACAGTAAAAAGATAAGGCTTTGCTGAATTACGAGTCAAACAAGAACAAGTTTTAGTTGATGGAGCTTGAGATGATATCTCCTAGTATTTGTAAGAAAGAGATGCAACTTTATGATCATGGAAAAGAGGCTCAAGTTTAGCAGATAGAGCATTATTAACTTCATTAACAACGCAGTTTATGAAGTTGAAAATGAGAAACTTGTGAACTTTGTCAAGTTTTGTTGGAAATTAAATGAAATTTAAAATTCACAAGCCACTACAAACAATTTGTTACAGAACTGAGATATGATTTAAGATCAATTGCCTGTTCTTAGCCATTGAAAAGAGAAGACTTTTTGTCAAGGCTGGAGTATAAAGTGAAATCATCACCAAATAGAGCCACCCTTAGATTTAAGGTTATGAGGTCGTCAATGAATATAGGATAAAAACAAAAGCAAGGATTGAACTTTTAGCTACCCTTAAAGTTACTGGAAATGAAGAAGAAAAAATGATTTGATAATTTTAAAATCTTTTCCAGATACATCACATGAAGCAAGCAGAACTTTATAACACCACACCAAACTTTATTAAAAGCTTTAGATATATCCAAAAATCGGTTGTCTGACAGTAAGTTATTTGACTCAAGATGGGATTAGAATGATCAATTACTCAAAGACATTGCTAACAACAGATAGAAGACTGATAGGACAATAGTTAGAGAGCTCATGATTTTTTCCAGAAATTTAAAAAAATTAATATGCCACCGAGTGATTGGTTAAAAATCTTGCTTTTAACCCTATTATTGAAGATCACGTAGATTAATTTCTAGTTTTTAACAAAATTTGTAAAGAATTTTTAAAAAATATATACAATCAGGGTTGCTACTGGTCATGGAAATCATGGAAATGTTATGGAATTTCATTTCAGGTCTTGGAACTTTTTAAAATAATCTTTTTCTTCTAATGATATTTTTAAAATAATTGTAAAAAAGAATTCACATTTTGACAAAAAGTCTTCTTTTTTGGATTGGTTAGAACAGGCAGCTAGACTTTAATCTGTTTTTCCATCTGTAACAGCTTGAGGCTTGCAGTTTCCTTTTGATTTTAACTTCAAAAATTTCCTGGGAAGAAAACAAATAAAAAAATTGCATTCACAAAATTTGCTATAAATAACTTATTGGTAGGTGTAGTGTTATTGACAGGCAACAGTTTCTTATTACCATTTCAAATGCTGTACTTTAAAGGGAAAGTTAGTGAGGGCAATAAAAGAGTTTTTTGTCCTAATCTTTAAGTTTGTTTTTTTTACAAAGTTAATAAAACTGAATTATAGAACCATAAAACTGAATTATAGAAAACTGAATTATAGAACTGTATTTTCATTAGGAAATAATAGAATGAGTTGTCATAAAAACAGAGAATTAAGCAAAACCCATGCATTGAGTCAGGGAGATACAGCATTTAACATCCTGAACCGGAAACAATTTATAATAAATACATCTGACTAAAAGATGAAGAAGGGGTGCAAGAAGAAGGCTTGTTAACAGATAGAATCTGTTTACCCCTTAAACTTAAACCACTTTACCGCTTGTTAGAACAACCCTTTCAATGCACTTTTATAAAGTGTAATATATGATAAAATTTGATGACATAATTAAAGAAATTTTTTTTTTCTTTAGTTTAACTAATATAACAATCATCAAAATGGCCAGTTGTTATATTTTTTGCATTAGATATTTTTATTGCAACTTTTGCTTTCTCTTTCTTATCTATTTGGATGTTTCAAAGTCTGCTAGTTTCAAAATGGCCCTTGCTTTGTTTTATAATCTTTTCCTGAAACTGGAACTTAAATTTAGGGAAGAAAAATTTAAGAGAAACTTTTTCAATTATTAACAAGCATAAAACTAAAATTTAATAACCTTTTGAGATATTGAGATATTCCAACAATTTTTTCAGTTTAGTATAATAATAAATTAACAATTAATAAAATAACTGTTTAATTTAAAGTATTTTAACTTTTTGCTTGTTATTTGTAACTGTTTGTTAATTATTTTAATATTAGTTTTATGCTAAAAAATAAAAAAAAATGTCCTCAGCTTACATAAAGTAACTTGACTAGATATATAAGCAGCCATTTTGTTTAGATACGTGCTCTAACTAGTGAAGGAAAAAGATTAGCAGCTTATTTGACAGGAACAACAAATACTCTTGGTATTTTTTGTTATCATTATTTTATACATTACACAAAACACAGTAAGCATAATTTAACATTTTGAAAATGCATTTTTACATCTTGAAAGCAGGATATAGGCACTAGACGTGGTATAGGGTACAGCCACAGACATGGTATAGGGTACAGGCGCAAGGCTGGGTAAAAAAAACAAAAGCTTTGAAGTAAAAGTAATTTTTATTAATTCGTTTAAACAAAAATCTCTATAAACTGATTTTTTTTTGTTTTTGAGAAGATTAAGAACTAGAAGTTAAAGTATTTAGAGATTCAAACTCACACAGTTATAACATTATGATCATCATCATAATGATGATTATCATGTCTTAAATTTTTAATATTATATATATTATATATGGTTTATTTTAAATAGTAATAAAATATAAGTTTACTACTATTTAAGACAAACACAGTATAAAATATTATTTAAGTTTGAAAAATACACTGTGTAAGGAAGGCAGGGTGGCCAGCAGTCCTTAAAAACCTGGAAATCATTTTTTTATCTTTTACAGAGTTGTTATTAATTTTGCATAGATTTATACTGAACTTACTGTTAGTATTATTAACATCTACTATATAGTTATTTTTCATTTTCATATTTTTTCTTAAATCAAAATATTTTATAAGATAATATTGTTTAAGTTTTTATTATTAGATTATTTTGCACCCTCACCCCCTCAATTACATGTTCATGGTAAAACAGAGATTTCTATTGAGTGGGATCCTCCTAAAAATCTTCTTGGCAGATTAAATTATTATGAACTTAGAATGGATAACATGGTTTGTTGTTTTTTTATGTTTTTCTACTTTAATTTGTTTTTAGTTTGAAATCTAACAAGAAATTTTCTGATTCTTAGTAACAGTAGTTGTGACATAAATTGAAATTTTCTGATAAAAAAACTAATTTTTCATTTAACACGGAAGGTGTAAACACAGAGGCTATTAAAGTTTTTTTGCTCATCATGCAAGGAATTTTATTGTTATTATAGTCTTTGCTTATGCATGTTTTTTTGTGATTTTTGCCATCATTTACATTCTTTCTTATTGTTGTTGTTTTTTATTTTGCTCACAACAAAAAGCCATATTAAGCTTTGAAGTTAACTGTGAAACCAAAAGTAGTAAAGAGAGTTAAAGAAAAGAAAACTGTTAATAGAAGGCTGTAAATTGAAAACTGTTGATAGAAGGGTGTAAATTAAAAACTGTTGATAGAAGACTGTAAATTAAAAACTGCTGATAGAAGATTAAAAACTGCTGATAGAAGTCTGTAAATTATCAGGAAAAAAAGAGTCAGGAAAACATGAAGAGATGTGTGATTTTCAAAAATTTTTAAATCCTTATAATGCATTCGTAGTATAAAAATAGTCCTCGATGGACAGCACTCTTATTTATATGCCCTCTCTTTTTTAGACTAGGTGCAAAAATAAATTGTAAACATAGTTGGACCTGCTCTTGCAGCCAACCTCCAACCATAATCACGTTGTCGTAATGTTGCTTCCCTTTCTCTTTTTTACAAATATTATAAAAAGAGCTAAGCAATTCTTGTGCCATCTACAAAAATTTCTTGTGTTACTTTGTCATTCAGTTAAGTCTCATCCTTTTTCTGTGACTGTTCCTAAGTGCAATAAAATCTCATTCATCTAGTTTTTTTCCTCAAACATCAGTTTTTTGGAATTCACATCCTTTATCTTGCTTTCCTGATCTTTTAAGTTGTCTGTCAATCATTATCTTGCTCTACAAACTTCAAATTCTCTTCCGGTAACTTCCAACTCTTATAGTGGTTGTTTGCAGCCTTGTTGGAAATGAAGATGTTGAGAAAAAAATTTTTTTTTTTTTGAGCTCTTAGTATACATGAAACCCTTTTTCCTCTTTTTTTCCCTTATTAAAAACATTCTTAAGCTTAGATTAGTTTATTTTTTCTAAAGTCTAAATAAATAAATATAATATCATATTGCTGTTATTGCACTCTTTACTGATTGAAGGAAATCCAAAAAGATATGATGTTATTTTTTTCTATATTTATGTTCTTAAAAGTTTTTAGATTTACTATTTATTGGAAAACCATTATGTGTTTTGTCCTCTTGTATTGAATGTTGTTCTTTTTTTTAGCAAATGTTCCTCCTCATATCATTATTTTTTGTTTATTACTTATTTAAATATTTATTTATTTGATTTATGCTTTAGAATTAAATTTATATATAAATAAATAAATTTATATATAAATAAATAAATTTATATTATAAATAAATGTTTCAAAACAATTAAAGAACTACACGATAAATTAACACAGTTAAACATTTATTTTCAGGTAATATATAGAGAAATTGACGACTGTTTTACTGCGCAAGCTCTTCATCCAACTAAAGTTTATAGCTTTACAGTAACTACATTTAGTTATATTTGAAATTTGTTTTTAGTTTTAAAATGTTTTTCTGAAGAGAAAATATTAAATTTCAGGTTTCAGCTTGGATGAGTGAGGGTAGATGCGAAAGTTTACCCAGAACACGTCGAATCAGCAAGCAATGTAATTTGTTTCAATATATCCAAATATTAATAATAATATAAAAAGTATTATTTTTTTCAGTTTTAAAATCAGATTTGAATTCTCTGACTGTTCTATTACGTGCTTTCGTTTAGCACCTCTTCACTTGATTACCTTTTCTACCCACTTTTTGGTGTTCTTTCTACTCAAATTAACCAAGTTTTTTTATTCTTTATTAATTTGCTAATGTTGTTGTTATTGTTGACTTTTATATTTATCAAACTCATTGGCTTGGCTCTAGACTTTGCAGGTCTTAAATCTAAAAATAAATTTTATTTAAATCTCTTACCGATAATAAAGTTGACAACTGCAAACTGGAATGTATTTAAAAAGTGTTTAAATACCTACTAGTATCATCTACAGTAAGGATGGCCAAAGTCTTTATGACAAAGCGCAAAAAAATAATCACAAACATCTGTGTAAAATGTAAATGATTACTACAGAAATAGTCTTTTTATTTTTATTTTTTTTCAATATTTTTCAATTTAAACAAAAACATCTTTTCAATTATCTAAGTATAATAACATCTGTGCAACTACACCTGGAAGTTTTACAGATGTAGTTACATCTTTTCAATTATGTTAAGAAAAACTACATCTGTACAACTACATCTGTAAATTCTGATGACGTAGTTACATTTTTTAAATTATATTAAAAATAGTTACACGATTTTATAGAATTATTAAGTTATAATGTGTTATATTAATCAGATGTAGTTACATATATGATTTTTTTTTTCAGATGTAGTTACATCTGGAAAAAATTATTAAATAATAATGCATTAATTTAACCAGATTTAGTTTCATATAAGTTTTTTTTTCAGATGTAATTACATCTGTAGGAAATTCTTCCAGATGTTATTGGCTTTTGTGAAAAATTACAAGACGTAGTTACTTCTATCGAAAGATGTTGTTAGGGGTCGTTGATTTTCCAGATGATATTGGACAGATGTTATTAGAGTAATAAAAATACAGATGATCTTGGACAAAATTGCACAGATGATCTTGGACTAGTCCACAGATGTTTTTGGATAGGTGTAGTAATCTTTTACCCAAATTTCCAGAATGCTTTCAAGAGAAATAGATGACAGAGAGCTTTTGATCATGTCTGTCACCAATAGCTCTACCAGTTTATTTTTTAATCTTGTGTGATTATTAATTTCTATAATCAGGGTTGGAATCAAATATGTATTTTTATTTGAAGTTCTATTTTTATTTGGTAGTTATAGGGTAAATTGGCGTATTTGTATTCGTATTGCATTTGATTTAAAAATTTCTTAAAAATTTTTATTTGCATTTGATTGAAATGTATTTTTTACAGTGTTTTTCTCCAAAAAATCCAACCGAAAAAATAAACAAGGTTGACTGGTGTTTATTTGGGAAAAATCTAAGATACTTGTTTTTTTTTCCCTTTTTTTTAAACACTAAAATAAGCTAAAATTTAGTTTTTAAAGGATATTTTTTTATGTTTTAAATTTAAATTGATATTTATAAAAGACTTGTTTTTATTCTTCTATTTAGTAATCTCTATTTAGTAATTCTATTTAGTAATTTCTGAATATTTCTGTTATTCCATTTTATCAATATTGTAATAAAACAAATCTATGTATTTTTTCAAAACTAATTTACAAATATTTGTATTTGTGATATGCCAATTATATATATTTGTACTTGAATTAGTATTTGTAAATCTGAAATTAAAGTATTTGTATTTGTGTTTGACCCTGTCTATGATTATTAATTTGGTGTTTAATTGCTGATATATTCATTCTGATATAAGGAATAGTTGATAAAAAGTTTTATTATTTTAAACTTTGAAATCTGCAAAGTCATTCTCAAATAATTGTAAAAGTTTCGATATGGCGGCTTTTTTGTAACTCTATTCAACTTCTACCTCTAAAAAGTTATTTTTTGTTGTTGTTATTGTTATGCGTGTTATTTCATTGTGTGTCTTGTATTAGTAAAGATTTTTTTATTAGTTTATAAATCCGACATATGTCGGATTTACTATTAGTTCATAAACCTAACATATTATATCAGATTTATTATTAGTTCACAAATTTGACATATTATGTTGGGTAAAAAATTACTACATCTGTCCAACAACATCTGTGGAGTAGTCCAAGATCATCTGTACACTTTTGTTCAAGATCATCTGTACTTTACTTTTACTCTTATAACAACTGTCTAATATCATTTGAAAATTAAACGACCCCTAACAACATCTTTAGAAAGATGTAACTACATCTGGTAATTTTTCTCCAAGTCCAATAACATTTGAAAGAATTTTTTCCAGATGTATTTAAATCGGAAAAAATTTCTATATGTAATAACATCTGGTTAAAATAATGCATTAGTAGTTGATTGATCTTAAATATAACATCATCTTAAAATCTGAAAATGTAGTTGCACAGATGTTATTACACATTGATTATTTAAAAGATGTAACCACATCTGTAAAATCCAAAGATGTTGTTGCACAGATGTTATTACACTTAGATATTTTAAAAGATGTAACTATATCTGTATTTCATTTAATTTTTTCTCAGATGTTGTTAGGCATTAACGAAACTTCAGATGTTGTTGGACAAATATTATAATACCTCATTATATTTACAAATGTTGTTGGACAGATGTTATTAGACATATTGTTGGACAGATGTTATTAGACATGGCAAAAACTGATGTTGTTACCCTGACCCTTATGTCGGATTTATTAATGACATTAAAATTTTGTTATTAAAAAAGTTTTAATAAAATAATTTTTTTTTATTTTATTGTAGCTACATTATCGTCTATTTCAAAAAGAAGAATCTGTCTAAAAAAGTAATTTGAATCGCGGTTCAACGAGTTGTTAGTATGCGACTAAATTTAACTTGTAAAGTTAAAAAATTTAAAGTAAAAATTATAAGTAAAAATAAAAATGACCAAAGTGCAATTGTTAAATATATGTAAATAATATTTACAGTTATTTATATAAAGTTTAATTTTTCACAAGATGGTATATTGTAACTTTAAAATGTTTCAAGGATGGTGATGAAATTCCAGCAAAAAAAAACAAAGAAAAAAAGAGGTTCGTTCCCAAAAATTCATAACACTTATTCGTTACAGACGCTATCCAGCTAAATCAGGAAGATCAGTTAAAAATAGTTAAAAACTAATTCCAAATCCATCAGAAATTTGATTAAAACAAATGGGATGAAAGCTAATTAAAAAACAGTTATCTCAGGGGCGACAACATGGGTTTCAACACAATCGTCAATTTTTTAAAAAAGTCATCTATATATCTAGAATTTTCTTTAATAAAAAATATGTGTGGGGGGGGGGGAAAGGCGGTGTTTTCGGCTCTGTTATCTTCTGGTCTGACAATCAGAAATAAGCATAAGCGTGTCAAGAGACAAAAAATGTTAAAGAAACGGTACCACCGACAACTTTTTCAAATGAAAAGTTAATCCTGCTTATGCGCCCTGTTAACAGAAAAAATTATTGAGTTTATAGAATTGTTGTTACTGAAACATGTTTTAAAAAAGAAATTCACTCAATTCATCCGATTATCATTGATAACTACAACATTGAGCATACACCAACTGAATCTTCCTGTGGGGGGACATTGTTATACTTGTCAAAAAAGTCAATATACAAACGAAGAGATAATTTGATGATTTATTCACCTAATTTTTTAGAATACACTTTTGTTGAATTAATTTTTTTTAAAAAATTCAATATTATTGTTGGGTGCATTTATAGACACTATTGCTTGGACATAAATATTTTCAATAATATAATGTCTGCATTGCTTCTAAAAATATCTGCAGAAAATAAATCTGTTTTTTTATTTGTTGATTTTAATAAAGACTTGATACAATCAAGTAATGACATTGCGACCTGTGATTTTTTAAACTTACTTTGTATTTATAATATTTGCCCTTTTTTATTACTTTGCCGAACACTCTGCTACAACCATTGACAATATTTTTTCTAATTTAATAACTAATGATATTATTTCTGGAAATTTGACAACTTCTGTCTCTGATCACCTACCTCAATTTTGTGTTTGTCCCAATTTCAACAAATTATTTATACCACGGAGTCACAAAATATATCGTAGAAATTTTAAAAACTTTGATTAGGAAAAATATAGATCTGACTTATTAAAATGTGATTGGGATGACGTTAAAAAAAAATAGTGACATTAACTCTTGTTTCCATAAGTTTATTACTGAAACAACATCGATTTTGAATCGCTATGCCCCACTCGAAAAGACTAGTATTAAGAGCTTCAAACGTCAATTTAAACTATGGATTAGAAAAGGAATCATAAAATCTATTTAAATAGCAATCTTTTTCAAAAAAATTTTTTCAGATAATATAAAAAATCTTTGCGAAATTCGGAAAGGCATTAATAATGTAATAAATGTCAAAAATTATAACAGCTCATCTTCCAATTGTTTACTAGATAATGATAAGTATTTAACTAAACCGACTCTAATCTCTGAAAAATTTAACACTTTTTTTACAAATGTTGCTCATGAACTTAAATCCAATATTCATTCGTCTTACGTCAACTATCAAAAGTATCTTAAATATCCAAACTTACATAGTCTACTCTTATCTTCAACAAACATTCCTGAAATTTTATCTCTTACCGGGTAATTTCATCTCTTACCGGGTTTGAGCGTAACGCAACTGCGTTACGCTCAAATTTAAGACTCTATCCATGCTTGTAGATATCCATGGATCTATTTGTTTACAAATTATGCAATAATATTAACACAGAAATAATAAATAAAAAATTAAAAAAAACGTAAAATTTTTGGAGTAAGAAACTTTTTCATGAAACAAGAGATATCAAACGACGTTTTAATAAGCCAAAACCTGTGAAACGATCACCTCAGCTTTTAAAGTCTGTCAAAAGAAAAGTCAAGCGAATTCTATTGCGCTCCATCCGCCAGTTGGCAAGGGAAGCCAATGTTGCTAACTCCACAATGCAAAAAGTTATGAAAGTTTTGAATCTTAAATCCAGAGTTGTTGTGACTAAGCATCTTACCACTAATAAAGAGAAAGAAAGTAGGAAAGAGCGATTCAAAAAATTGTTTAAATGGCGAAAATCTTACCCTAGGGCTGTGACAATCTTCTCTGATGAAAAACTTTTCACTGTGGATAAAGTTACTAATCACCGTAACACAAGGTACCTTAGTACTGCCAAAACAGTAAAGGAAGTCCCTGATAATATCAGGCATTCATTTTTTTTTTAAAAAAACAGCTTTTATGATGGTACTTGGCGTTATAGCAAGTGATAGAAAAAAGTGTCCACCAGTTTTTGTGAAAAAAGTTAAAAAAATTGACAGTGGTGAGTTTATCCACCTCCTGCAAGAGAAGATCATTCCCTGGTTAAACAGAAGCTATCCAGATGGTCAGTATGTGTTTCAGCAGGATGGGGCACCAGGTCATACTTCAAAATTTTCTCAGTGAAAACATAAGTCAGTACTGGAACAAATTAAAGTAGCCCCCATCTAGCCCAGATCTGAACCCATCAGACTTTTTTATGTGGACAGCTGTGGAGAAGGAGGCTTGCAAGATTCCCTATGGAAGTACCGAGTCACTTGAAAAATCTATATGCAAAGCATGGGTCAAAGTTCCAGAAGAAGATGTCAAGAATGCATGCAGATCCTTCCAGAGGTGTATCCAACTTGTGTATGATGGTAATGGTGACCACATTGAATAATTTTAAACCTTAGTCATGAATAAACATCTAGTCGAAATTCTAGTCAGTTATGAATTGAAATGAATGTTTTGTGTATTTTCAAACTTTTATATTTTTTGCGTTACGCTGTTACTCAGTCACCCGGTATATCTAAAGTGAAGCCGAGAAAACCATTAGGTCCAAACAGTATTTCTACAAACATTCTTATTGTTTTTAACTACGAATTTTCAAATATTCTGTCTAAACTATTTAATATCTCATTAACGAATGAAACATTTTTTGATATTTTTAAATTATCTATTCCAATTTTCAAAAACGGCTCTAAACTTTTATTTACTAACTATAGAACTATTTCTCTTTTATCTAACATTGTAAGCTACTTACTTACTTAATGTATTTTAGAGTGTACTCTTTTCTAAACTCTTTTAACTGTTTAAATGAGTTTTAATTTGGTTTTCGATCAAACCATTCTACCTGCCACGCACTGATAAGTATAACTGAAAAAATTAGAAAAGCTCTTGATACTGGTCATTTTGCTTCTAATGTTTTCATCGATTTACAAAAAGCTTTCGATACCGTTGATCATAGCATTTTGAT